AAATCATGGCGCTCCTAAAAGTGGACTGAAAATCAGGATTTACGAGACGCCCCGGTTCAATGTCCGCCCAAAAAAACCGGCACTCGTGACACCAAGACGCCAAAACCTTACGTGGTCAAAGGAACAAACACCGTCACGATATGATTCTGAGTTCGGTTCTGTGGCGGGCCTCATGTAGTGCTAGCTACACAGATCTGAGAGATATTCGGTCTGACTATTCGAGCACAACCCGAACTTTATGAGTTTCTTTGATCTTCGAATAGTTGACACAACAACCGACTCAAACACCACGTGCACACGAAATTAAAAGAGGGAGAGTCAGCGATCTGCGAATGTGGACACGACCAAGAAGATGCCAACCATATCCTTCAGCTCTGCCCGCGCTACGCCACCCTTTGTACACAGACGTGGCAGAATGTGGCTCCCCTTGAGAAAAAGCTCTATGGCAGTCTCTCAGAGTTGAGGCGGACTACACAGTTTGTGCGCGACATGGGACTGACTGTCTAGCTGCTGTCATCGAGAACGAGGAAGAAGAAGAAGAAAAACAATAGTTGACAATTTTTTTTAAAGCAACAGCATACAAACACACATTTATATAATATGAATATATGCACATCCGCACACGCGCGCGACCACACACACAAACATACAGACACACATTCACACATACACACACATACGCACGCAAACAAACACGCACACCCCCACACCCACACCCACACCCACACCTCCAAACCCCCACCATATGCAAACAGGCACCCCTTTCACACGCACACAGACACTCACACACAAAAAACTCTCTCTCTCTCTTTCTCTCTTTCTCTCTCTCTCTCTCCCTGTCTCTCTCTGTCTCTCTCTCTCTCTCTCTCTCTCTCCCCCCCCCCCCCCCTTAAGTTATGTCAGAATTGAAGTTAAGTATTGCTATAATATTTGATTTTATTACAGTATATCACTATCATACCATTGTAATTCAAAATCCCACATGGGAACAAATTTACCTTCATCTATTTATATTGTCCAGCAATTCCAGGTTCTAAGCCTATGGCATGGCCATTTTATTGCTACAAATTCATGCATTTTGTTTTCAGGCTTTGTTTGGGGTTTTCTTTTTTTATGTACACTGATATATTCTTAATTCCGTGAAACTGGGATACAAAGAACTTGGATTCCAAGAAACCTTGGTTTGGCGAAAAGAGACTGATCCCTGGTGGGTTTTTTCTTCATTCATTAAATTCAACAAAATAACTAGAATTCAAAGAACACATAAACGAGTGAAATCGGATTCAACGAAGTTGCTTGCAGGGCGAACAGACCCTGCTGATGTGGCTTCGCACATTTTTTCCCTCGACGCACCTAATCCCAAGACACCATTTCGTCAGACAAGCACGTAAATCATTACAGTAGAACACGGCTATAGCGGGATTTTTCATTCTAGAAGAAAAATCCCGTGAAGGCGAGTTCCCGCTATAGGAATACAAAGGGGAAATTACTGACATTCTTTTAAAAATCAACATGATTATCTCCCTTCCATTTGTGCCGGTTGGCCTACTGTAGAACTGGAGAAATGGATGCGTGCGTATGTCTCTGAGCATCAACAATCGCAATTCAATGAATCAGGAATCCCACATTACACGCTCTCCTCTTATTTTACTTTTTAGCCTAGCCTAGGCCTAGGGCTATGACCTATACACTCTCATACTGAGCGTCTAAGCTACGCAAATCGCTTTTGGAGTGGCTCACGTAACGCGTCTCTCTCTCTCTCTCTCTCTCTCTCTCTCTCTCTCTCTCTCTC